GCCGCCATCTTGGCTTATTCCAACCAGAAGTGACATGAAAGGGTGCAGCGAAGTACAATTGAACAGTGAATAAAGTGACCAAAAAGGTCACAATTAACTTTCATGAGCTGAAAACATACTGTGAAAGGGTTAAAGTTGTTAGACCAAAACAAGCACAACTACCAGAGCAGACGCGCCGTGATAGCAACCTGTCAATCACAAGGTAGCCCCGTCCTAAAGCACATTCTGCTTTATGGTCTATTTGACTCTAAATGGACCATCATTTACTAAATGAACATCATGCTATATTGAAGAAGACTTGAAACTAGTGATTGAGACCATAAACACATGTTTACAATGTTTACTGAGGTAATAAATCAAGTGAGAAGTAGAGTCATTTTCTCATACACTTCTATACAATCAGACTTTTTTTTGCATTTGAACAAATGCATGTTTAAGGCGCTTCAGCATCGGCTTCACTTTTCAGACCCAGTGGTTGCTGCCTGTCTTCAACACGCTTGCCTTGCCAGTTTCAGTATAGTTGCAATCTGCAACCCCATCCTACAAACTGGCCCTTTAAAGCTGCGAATTTTGTGCTGTATAGAAAGTCTTATGCCTGTTGACTTTACTTTGTTCTATACTCCTCTATTCATTTTAAACTATATATCTCTCTCTGTGTGTCAGTCTGTCTGAGCTATCCTGAGAAAGTGTTTGCTCGCCACCACACACTTGACCCTCTCACCATCATAGTCATCTGTTTTCTTTTCATTCATTTGTTATTTTCCCTTCACAGTTTCCCCTTTCTCTGTGTCCATGTGTGTGTGTTTGTGCACGTGTGTGTGCAGAGATATTAATCCAGACTGATTAGATGTCTTTTGGCTCAGACCCAAATGAAACAGCAGTTAATTCTCCCCCTCTTTCCCTTGCTTATTAGCCTTCTGGGTCTCTCAGCCCACACACACACACACACACACACACACACACACACACAAAGCTTTATCATTATCTTGCTGCCTTTGACGTGAGTGATAACATAGACGTGATGTGTACTGGGGGTTCAGTGCAGCCGGTGGTTGGATCGTGGGAGAGGCAGGAAATAAAAAAGGTGATGAAAGAAAACAAAATCCTGTTTGACTCTCTCTGGTGTCGTGTATTGCAGTACGGGGTTATCAGTCTGACTGACTTTGATTGTACCACAGAATGAATCAAATCTGTCTTCATAACGGCCCTGTTGCCCTTTACGACTCCTCTACTACATTTCTCATCCAGCATTTTCTCAACTCCTCTCAGTCTCTCACGACGGCTCGTTTTATTTGTTCACACACACTCCAGCACCAAACAGCCGACAGTCACAGTTAGTGACTAGCTGGTGAACACAGTGAAGCATTTAGCAGCTAAAGAGTCCGATATTTACCTCAGGAGTTGGTCGAGACCAAAACAGAGGTAAAAGCAGGATCAGTATTGGACTTGTAGCCTGAAACACAACTCTAACTAAATGCTAATGTTGCATCTGCTGAATGCATCAATTGTTTGCCAACACCTGTGTCAGATGAACTTTCTAAAGTGGTAATATGTTGGTGTTGTGTTCACAGCTTGTTTCTGCTGCCCCCAAGTGGCCCAAATCAATCATTGCAGGTCTAAATGTGGGTGAAGAGCTTATCCATTCTCTTGAAACCAGGATATGATGTTTCAACATGTACAACGTAGTTAAGTATGGGCTACGTTTCATACGTATACGTAAACATAACATTACATAACTTAAATAAGTCGACTTGAGTTGACTTTTCATTTTGCACAGGCACGAACACCGATATCCTGGGTGAAAGTCCGGTGTTTGTTTAGCACATCCCTCCACATAACCTCACCTCCACCTTTACTAGCGGCATAACTACGGACACATAGAACACGTTAGTTTGACGCGTAGGGCCACTGACCACTCTGCCGTATTTCACGAGTTGGGAGTAACATTGGACAGGATGTTGATGTGCAAATAAGATTATCTGGATACTCCAGAAACCTGATCACAAGGATGGCAGTGCGCATTTAAACACACTCACTCGTTGTGTTGCTTTTGACTTTTTCAGTGCCAGTGCCAGTAACAGACTGTCCCCTGCATTGCATTGAGGTGGTGACAGCATATCTCAGAAAATGAATATCTCTAACCGTTAGGAAGCAGCGATTTCCTCTCTGTCTCTCCATCTCGGTCTATCGCTACATCTCTTTATTGATTAAAGTTCAAAAGACATCACTAAGCCCGTCTCCATTTTTCATTGACTCTCAAACAGACATGCTAACACACACAATGTAACCCACAGTGCCACACACACACACAATGTCACCCACAGTTCCACACACACAACGCACACAGCAGACGCATTAAACTAGCTGCTGTGAAATCTTGTGATCAAGGATTCTGCACTTTAATTCCCTGCGGATCATACACTATCTCCAACTGCTCCTGGGAGGCGCCTTTGACCCACCCACACACACACACACACACACACACACACACACTAGGTGGTATGTGCAGTTGCTATATAATTTAATGGACTCACATGGTCTGAGTTAATCAGCTTTGCGTAAGTAGCTGCTCGGTCATCCGTGAAGATTTATTCCTATTTTTGGATTAATCATATGATTATGACTGGCTTTCTTCCTTTTAGTCTGGAAACTTGTGTGGCCTTGAGCGTTTTGCCATCATCATTATCATCATTATCATCATCATCATCATCTTCATCATCATCATCATCAACAGCAACAGCAACAGCAACAGCTCCAGGCAACCAAACTATCACCTGCAACATAACACCATGTCATTAGTATTATTGACACTGTTCATTATTCCAGCTGAGCTGAAAGACTATAGTCAGATTCTTCAATAGGACTTCTACCAACAGTAACAGTAAGGTCATGCAAAGACTACACACACACACACACACACACACACACCACAGCATTAATTTTCGTTAACATATTAGCTGTGCAGTATCAGTCCTTTTATCCAAAACTGAGGGAAGTATTTTAATGAGAAGCACATGACTGTACAATCCTGGATAAGATGACAAGACCTCTTGTTGTAGCTGCACACACACACACACACACACACACACACACACACACGCACACAGGAAATCGTCAAACATCCTGTAAAGCAAAAGGAAATGTCTCTTGTCTGCGGGTTTATTGGTTCAGAGGAAGAAAATCTCAGATATATTAAAAACACACACGCACATACTTCACTGTTAATGCGGCTTTCGTCGCATTACAGCACGACAACAGACAAGCCTTGTAAAACACAAGCAGCAAACAGTCGTCTGCATCCCTCCTGTGTTCTGTGGTTCACAGTGGAAAGTACCTACCATCCGAGAATCAGAGAGGTGGTGAAGCACAGACGGGATGAGACAATGAATGTGCTGAACAAAAGTGAGTGGATGGAGAGAATTTAAAGAAAAGAGAGCCGCATGGATAAAAATAGAGAGAAGAAAGAAAAGCGCTCCAACCAGATTGATCTCATTTTCCTGCACATGAAACTGAAAAACACTGCTTTCTGTTAAATGTTAATCTCGTTTTCTCTCTCACACACACACACACACACACACACACACACACACACACACACACACACACACAGTCTGTCCAGGTTTTTCCATCATCAATAAAACATTACTGATCTCATCCTGATGTATGTGGGTGTCTGTCTGGCCCCGTCTATGCTGCTCTTTCCATGATTGTGCGGTATCCAAAGAATACTCCAACAAAGAAATCTTCCTTTAAATGCCAGACACTGCGGGCAGAAACATTGTTTTTCATCCACTGGTCGATTTTGAGATTTAGGGACATTTTGCTTCTTTCAGACTCGTGGAAAGAAAGCATCTAAAATAAGGTGTCGGTGTTTATTTTACTGCACTTTGTCTATTTGTGTCTGTAGATTGCTCATGAATTCACCAAATGTTAGCATTAAGGGTTAGGGTTACCAATGTTTCATGGCAATCCATGCAGTAGTTGTGATATTTCCGTTTGCACAGATCAACGTTGCCATCTACCAGCACTGAGCCTCTATGAGAATCATGCCCCCCCCCCCCCCTTCCACCACTGCATCCCCGTCTCCTCTAGATGTGGTGTGAGAGCGATCCCTCACTCTGCCGAGAAGAAAGGAAGGAATAAAACATCCTTGTTGTTTGTTCTCCTTCCCACTCGCAATCACACATTTTCTCTTTTCACAGCAACAACCACACTTGAGCAGCGCTTTATATTCGATTAAATGTAACAAGGAGATGAAAGCAACTTTTAAAACTCTGTGTAGTGGGTTTCTTTTTTCTTGTCTGTTTGTACAGTTCGGAGGCAGTGAGAGGAAACGGGGGGGGGGGAGTCCCAACTTGAGGTTTGGAAAATTGTGACCTTGCACTCTGAATCCTGCAATATTGACGACAAGATGAAACAAGAGGGGAGAAAGTGAGCGGGGAGGGAAGACAAAGAAAGAAAAGGAAGAGAGGAGGGAGACTTGAGAAGCAGAAATCAAAGAGAGAGGGATTAGGCTAGAAAAAAGACAGAGCTTGACTGTCCTTGTATGTTACCGTTACATATCACACACACACACACACACACACACACGGAGCCTGAGAGAAGCATTATGCTCTAAACACACAGACAGGAGGGGAAAAGAGCAGCAGGCACGCACACACACAGCGTCTGACAGCACTATAAATAGAGATTCTTCAATCCGCGTCGATTCAACCACCACAACATTCTCCAGATACACACTCGCACACACAAACACAGCTTCAGCTCACACTGCGGCTGCACTGATATGGTAAGAGAGGAAATTAAAGCCATCATGAAGAGGGGGAACTTAAGTTGGTAAGTGCATGTGCAGTTCAGCTGTTGTGCTCTATATGATCTCCAGTAGGATGAAAGTGAAGGCAGTAAGCTGCCTTTATCTTTGAAGGGAAGGAATAAAGAAGTTTGTCATGACAAAGACAGACAGAGGAGGACACGCAGCAGGGCGAATAATGAGGTCTGGCTTTGCTCTTTTCCCGCTGATTCTCTCAATATGTGCCTGTTTCTTTTTATATGTCTATACGTCATACAGAAGCAAAACCTTTCTGAGGCCAAAATGAATTCATCTTACCAATCGATTTAGATACTCTGTGTACTTCTATGTAGATTATTAGAAGTACTGCATCGTATCACATTAGCATATCAGGTTTTAATATGTAAAATGTAACAAGTACTTGAGTAAGTTACATCACACCACTGTGTTTATTGGTGACATCGAGGCTGTCTACGTCTGTGGAGAAGAGTTTTTGCCATGCTAGCGGCTTTAGGGATTAGATTATAGGTCGGTTTGGTCAGTCCACCACTTTGGTCCAGATTAAAATATCTCAACAACTATTGGATGGATGGCCATAAAATCTCGTACACATTCTTGTTCTTTGCAGGATGAGTTGTATTAACTGTGGCGACCCCTTAACTCTTCATCATACCTGTGAAACGGCAGCGTATCTATGATCCCAGAGTCTTACGTTGCTCAACTTAATATCCTATTTATATGACACATTAGAGGGATAGTTTGAGTCTGTTTAGGTGGGGTTGTATGACTTATTCTTAGTCAGTGTATTACCTACAGTAGAAGGCAGTCGGCACGCCGTCAGTTTGGAGAAGCAGACTTGAGTACCGGTACGGGAGCTAAGCAAAGTGCTGCTGTGATCGGGGACGACAGAAAAACCTAATTTAGCAACAAAGGAAAACAGAAAAGAAGTGTCACTCCAAGAACAAGCAGCACTGTAATAAAAAAAATTAAACAAAGAGCAACGGTAAGCAAAACATTTTTCGCTGATTTGCATCTTTCTACATACATGTGCATAAGAAGTGTTGCAGGAGGCCATCTTCTTTAATGTGTCTTCAAGTTGTCAGTGATCAACAGGAAGATGACTCGTGTTCAAGCCTAACTGATGATTAGATTGTGTGAGATACACCTCACAGATCCCCTAACCACATGTTATATATGCTGCACAAACATAAGGCCAAAGGTCATTGAATGTTTAGTCATATTGGTGCTGAGTTACAGCTTTGAGAAGCTTTACAGTTTTAGTGTCTTGTGGAACAAAATGAGAAGCATGCTAATCAGCTTGCTGTGCTTCCGAGTAAGCTTTATGATCAGTTAACAGACTTCTTGGTAACACGTTGTTTATCTTTAAGGTATTATGCTACAGGATGTGAAGTAATGTTTTTTATGCGATGATATTTATATGCTTCATTTTCAGCTATGTCGCAAAACATCAGAAATACGAACACTGGCCAAACAAGTACTTTGTATGAACGCAACCCATACATCATAATGCAACCGTCCTCAGTGAGAGAGTTTCTAAACATGTAATATTATACTGACTTTGCTTGAGGGATCAGAACAGATTATGCAGCACAGACACACTGCACGTTATTAGAGAGGAAACATTCCTCAGATGGTTGGTGGTTCTGGCAACCTGGCCGCTTGGCACGTCAGTCTTCTCTGTGTGTGTGTGTGTGTGTGTGTGTGTGTGTTTAGTTGGCAGCACTACACACACTCCAATGTCACGGTCGTCTTCAACATCTGTCCACTTGGAGAATGACCCGCCAGGCTCCCACACAGAGCAACTCGGGGCACATTGCTTTCCAATGAGGAATACTGTTGCTCTCATCTGCGACTCCAAACAACTGTAGTACAACTGTACCCCTGTGTTCCCTTAGAAAGACCAGTTTCAGTCTTTAAATAGAGATATTATCACTAAAACACCACCACCATAAAATAAGGTTCCTGCAGATACCCCACAAACTGAAAGAGAAAGTGAGTGACTTCTAGAAAATGCAGGTACTTTCTGGTGTACCAAGGTCAAAGCTGAAAACTGACACCGCTTGGAAAATCTCACACAAAACAAATCACTACAAAAAAAACACATTTTCATTCACCCTTTTGTAACAATAAATCAATGGATTGTTGTTTTATACTTATTTTCCTTGTCTTTTATCTTTTAATTGGTGGGTTAAACACTAAATTACCTTTGTTTTACACATCGTCCTTACTGTTCTCTATCCCTGCATGTTTTTCTTCCTGTGCAAAGCACTTTGTAAAATGCTCTATACAGTAAATAAAGTTGCCTGTTTGCCATACTGCCATGTGGATGTTCATCCAGAGAACCTCGCCTCCTCTCGCGCCTCGTAGCCCCGCCCACATCAAGCGCTCAAACCGGCCATTGGCTCGACTAGACGAGGCCCCGCCCACTGGTGGAGTTTATAACTTCTCTGTAAAATAAAGCAGCGCGTGAGGGAGTCTCACAACAGGAGGTCTCCCACTGAATGCTTTTATAGGGTCACTGAGTCTGCACAGAGGAGATGTTGTAAACAGCAGAGGAGACTTTCTTAGACTTTCTTCTATGAATGAAGCTGTAAAAACAGTCACAATGTGGAAACCCGCCGGTGGATCACACGGCACCTTCAGCCCAGCTGCTGCCGCCGCCGCGGTCACCTGTCTGCTCGTGACCGGGACGCTGGTCGTCACTGTCGGACACCCGAGCAGCGGACACCCGGCGGAGCCTCCAGCAGCCGCAGCGGCGAGCGGGAAAGCTTTCTCGACGTACTTCAGGACACTCACCCGGGAGAGGCGAGCGATACCCGGCCCGCCGAGGAGAAGCGCTGCCCCCGGGCCGGTGGAGCGTCTCTCCCCGGACGACTTGTTCATAGCGGTGAAAACCACCGGGAGGTATCACCGGCAGAGACTGGAGCTCCTGCTGGACACCTGGATCTCCAGAAACATGCAACAGGTGAGTTCAGAGTGATTTGGAAACAAGTCTGCTGAATTTCATACAGAAAACCATCAGAGATCAGACGACACAGAAACACACCTTACACAGCTAAATTAATAGAAATTAGACTTAAACTTAGTAATAAATAAACAAAATTGCACATGATGTGGTCTCGTGCAAAGTGTGATCACATGTTAATAGTCAATGCGTCAACAAGGGAAGTTGTACACGTAAAGGTGTCCCTCGTCTCCTGCTGCAAATTGCCAGCGAGTTCTAAGCTCTTGTATAGATCATTATTGTGTAGTTTATACTCTCACACTATTGTATATTAGTTAGTTGCTTATGTTGTTTGTTCTTATTTTTCTATTTATTTGTTCTTATATCCGTCTTTATGCTGCTGTAACACCTGATTTTCCTCTCTTTGGGCTCAATAAAGGTTCATCTTATCTATTCTACTACTTAAGAGTGAAATAATGTAATATATACATCACTAGCAGTTAATGAGGCAGCTGGAGTTAATACTTGTTTGCGTTTAAACGATTCAATGCATATAAACTACCCTGTGCTGCAGATAAAGGAGTTTAGATGTTTGCTCCATTGGACCAGGTTCAACATTAAGATGCCTCACCTTAATTCTAACCCTCACCCAGTAATTATAATAGCACTGAAATGAGCCATTCTTTAGCCTGAGTACTTTCACTTTTGATTCTAAACTGCTGATATTTGTGTTTTTACTCAATTACTTGTTTGAATGCTGGACTTTTATGTGTAATCTTTCTATTACACCGTCTTTTACTTCTGTAAATGATCTGAATAGGGCTACAGCTAATGACTAATCCACAGATCATTGGCTTTATATTATGGGAAAAAGCTCATCTACGTCTTCAGCTATTCACTTTACTATCATAGAGAAGTAAGAAAACCACAAAACACATTTCAAGAGTTGGAAACTCAGAGTCATAGACTATCAAAACAGATGCCAGTTAATTAGATTAATGGACTAATCATCGCCGCTCTAAATCAGAATTCTTCTTCCGCCACTGATCCCATTAGAAACCATCTTTTCCTCATTATTACACCGAGCAGCCTTGTGATCTGGAGGACTTGGAACATGACTACTGGATTTGAAAGTGAGACATTGAGCCTCACAGATTAAATATTTGAGATCAGACAGCCTGTTTCTTGGTCTGAATCACGGTGGCGAGTGAGTCAAAGATGAATCTGTTGCTGTGAAACACATGGGGCTGTGGTGAACTGCACCCAGCGGCTTCAAAGCTCCTAATCGAATGCAGATGTGACTGCGGAGCGCACGGCGGTCGCTCCGCTTTCCATTTAAACCCCAGTGTGAGGAAGGACTCGCTCCAGTCTCATCTCATGCTGCACTGACACTGTTGACATGTAAATAGAGCTGATGGAGGGGCAATCAGCTGGTGTGTGTGTGTGTGTGTGTGTGTGTGTGTGTGTGTGTGTCTGACGCATTCTTGCCTCTGCTCTCACGGTCAGGTGTGTGTAACTCTACCTATTTCCCAGACACACCTCTATACTATGAGACTGCTGAGTAATGGAAATACAGCAACACACACACACACACATTCTCAGTGTTACCTTCACACACACACACACACACACACACATGCCCTGGGAATTCACAGGGTTTCTCATGGGAAGTTAAAAAGTGTCTGATCACAAGAGTAAACAAAGACACGCACACAGACACCACTTTCTCCTGCCTCGGTGGTTGTTGCGGTTTCCTGTGTAATCCCCCCCCCCACCTCCTCCTCCTCCTCCTCCTGCCCTCCTATGACACACTCTGACTCACAAGATGACTGCTCTCTGGAGGCTTAAGAGGCTCAGAACGGGAGGGGGGGGGGGGGGGTTTGACAAAAACTCACAGCTGTCTGGACACACAGATATGTTTCTGTCTCTCTCTACAACAGGCAGTGGTGTGATCACACAGTACACAGACCAAAGATTTATTATTGAATTTGTGCTGCATGGCGGGAAGGTTGCAGATCCCTCTGAGCCGGGTCCTCTCACTGGGGGGGAGGGGGGTATTAGGACAGTGAAAGTATTAGGACAGGTCTTCTGTTATTGTCCCTGCAGCACTTTGGATTTGAAAAGAAAGGACCACTAATGAAGTTAAAGTGCTGACTTCAAGCTGTGATTTCAGGATGTTTACAATCCGATGAACTAATTATAAAACTATATAAATCTTTCAGGGGACAGAAAGTAAATAGACAAGTTAACACAAACTTGAACTGAAGTAAAAACATTAGATTTTCTTTATTTGGTCCTTTGCAGTTAGTTCATGTCTAAAGGCTTTAATGCACTAACATTAAACAGGCATCGTCCCCGCTGATGTGGTGCCAGACCCGCACTGCAGCAACCCATGGAGTATCGATCTGTTCGTCTGGAGGTTGGAAGTCGACTTGTATTAAAGAGTTATAGATTTCAAGGACGTACATTTATCATTTTAACAGCGTTTGAATGACTCTATTTGATGTTTGAGCTGCAGGGATGGCCAGACTGAAATCTCTACTTAAACATTGTCTCAACATTCAGGATCATTGTCCTGCTGCGTTATCCTAAAATATAGGGACAATGTATAAAAAGGACAACAAGTCCTCCACTGCTCACCCAATGTGGACGTAAACAGCGTCGAATTAAAGCTGAGATTAGGAACTTTAAACATCAGTGTCATCGTTTCATCTCTCGGCTCTATTGTGCTGGAATACAGAGTCAAGACAATATTTACAGACTCCGCTCTGTATGTGCACCCAGGCTGTGTGTGTGTGTTAACTTCCTGTGGAAAGTTGAGGGGTCTACACGGCTTCCTGAGTGCGCAGTGACCCCCGACCCCGTCACTCATCACATAAACACACACACACACACAGCTACAGAGTTGAGAGCAGCTGCTCTGCTGCTGATAGACAAGAGGCTTACCTTTTTAATGTTGGCCTGCATCCAACATCAGCAATGCCTGCTGCTGCGGCGGGTGTTGGTGTGTGACCGAGGAAACAGGTGGAGTCTCACCTGAGGCCGTAAGCAATGATCCTCGAACAATGACGGTGGAGCAGTGAAAGCGTCTGCACGACGGGTGTTTTTCGTTTCCCCGCTGGTCACTAAAGGTTTGTTTTTGTTCTTTTCCACAGACGTTCGTGTTCACCGATGGAGAGGACGAGAAGCTGAGGAAAAGGATGGGTGAGCTGCGCACACACACACACACACACACACGCTCACACTCACACACACACACACGCTCACGGAGCAGTTTCGCTGAGTTGCAGCAGTGTTATCTGCAGTCTGTGAGCAGGAAAGCAGGAACCAGGCTGCTGACTGGGCAATATTGTGTTTCCACAGAGTGCAGGAAGTCACTGCAGGTTTTATCAACAGGCCTTTCCTCGTCTAACTCGTGGAATTGTTTTACTTTCAATGAGGTATTCTTCTCACTATCGGACACATTGTACGACTCTATGCAGACAAAAGAGGTGTAATTATTATATTTATTAGCATCCTGCTTATAATAGTATCTAGCTGCAACGATTACTATTTAATTCATCACTATTTTGATAATTGATTAATGTGTAATTGTTAAAGAACAAAAACAGCCAAAATTCTCTGATTCCTGGGGATGCAACTAAATATAGTGTTCATTGTAGATTAATCTGTAGATTATTTTCTCAGTTAATCGATTAGTTTGGTTTATAAAATGTTTTTTGTTTTGTCCACAACTCAAAGATTTTCAGTTGATTGTCAAAGAAGAGGAAAGAAACCAAAAAATGTTCACACGTAAGAAGCTTTTTTTATCTTAAAAAATGACTCAAACCGATTCATCGAGTATCAATATAGGAGGCTATTCATTTAATACCTGACTAATAATACAACTTCTTAACTCAACTATGACTGTAAACTGAATGTCTTTGAGTTGTGAACAAAACAAGACATTTGAGGACGTCCTGCTGGGCTTTGGGAAACACTCTTTGACATTTCTGACATTTAATCGAGAGATTAATCCACAGTGAAAGCGATCGTTAGTTGCAGCCCGTATGGGATCACAGCTTTCTTGCTTCTGAAACAAATATTTAGTCACAAAGTTGCTTCATCAAATAATAATTCGAACCACTGCTGAGTCAGCGTTGGTTATTGATTTTTGTTTGTCATTGATCGTCAGGAGCTCACCTGATCAACACCAACTGCTCAGCGGCCCACAATCGCCAGGCCCTCTCCTGTAAAATGGCTCTGGAGTACGACACTTTCATCAACTCTGGCAGGAAGTAAGACTCACTCCACACACACACACACACACACACACACACACACACACACACACACAC